AAACCCCTCGCAACTGCGTCAAACAGTTGGTGAAATACGTGTCAGGGTTTTAGCTGGTACCTATGCTCTTATGCATAATGTAACATAATGTAACTTAAAAGTTCCAAGTTTTCAAAAGGGGACAAAGGAAAACAGGGGAGGCATCAAAAAAGTGGAGTTGCTACAGTCTGTAGGTACCTACCTCTTTAATTTTTCCAGCTAGCCAGGCGGTGAGATTTTCGGAGTTTTTGGTTGTTGTCCGTGACAACAGGCGAAGGGTGGGAGCCAACTAAAATTTGCAAAAAAACCTTGAGACAGATAGGGGAATTCAGCATCGACTGTACTTCCAGACTTTTCAGACGCCTACGACAACACATACACCCACTGGGCGCGTAGAAAGACTGAGTCAACTTATCACGTCGGCGAGGGACGATTTCTCCCCCTCCTTTTAGCCCTACGGTACTGGCTTACCTGACGGCACTACAGAAGGCCTAGTAGGGTAGAGCACGGATAATAGAGACTAAATATAGTCAGAAAACGTTTGCTGCGCAACGCATTTGAACAGTCTACATCCCTGCTCTAGACTCTCACTTTGCGGGCATGGTTGGCGCGCAAAGTACCTGACGTCTCCTCCTCCTCCTCCTCTTCCTCGCCCGATTGTGTGTAGAGGACTGGCGGCCATACCGATTAGGTAGTAAACACTTTGGATAGTCCCAACTGTAATGGTTACATCAGGTTTCAGGGCAGAGGACTGCATGAAAGCGGAAAAAAGACCAAAAACACTGCTGTGAGGCAGCGCAAAAGCACTAGCCGTTGCATTAAGTCTTCTACGTCTGTCTCACCCACGCCGGGCCTGTGGGTTGGCCACACTTGCTTTGAAACCTTACTTTGCATAGGAGTCCGTAGACGGCACAGCAGTTCAGATTTTGATCTGAACTCCTTTTATGTTGGGCGCGAACTCGAAGCCGCGGTAAGGATAGCTTATAAGTTTCACCATAATATCACATAATCACATAGTTTCCGGTTAACGGGACCAGCGGAAAATTCAAAGCTTTTTTTTTTCTTTCGCAATTAAAAATGACATTTCCATTGGAACGCATACCTGAATAAGAACCAGATATTTTAATCACAACTAGTATGTCAATACGAACGAACATGCGAGCCCCAGGAAGTAGTTGAGAAGAAGTAGAAGTAATCGCTGTCCGAGCTACTGTATTAGTGCTATACTTCTATTGTTTCTATGTACCTATATACAGTAGTTGCCGGTTATTAAGCCCACCTCGGGCCCAGACCAAATTGGGCCTTAATAAGAGGCTGGCGCACTAACCGGAGAGTCGCTGGTTATTAAGCCCACCTCGGGCCCAGACCAAATTGGGCTTAATAAGCGGCTGGGCCCATTAACCGTGGGCTTAATAACCGGTGACTACTGTATCTGGTTTGTAAAAAAAATTCAGATGAAGGCGAATGTTCGCTTTCCAGGTATTTGCATCGGTAAAGAAGAACAAGAATAGTGGAACACCGGATTGATTTGTTTATTGTTATGAGCTTTCGAACTCGTGCAGGAGTCTATCGTCAGAGGAAAGACGACAGCAGCAAAAGAGTTGCTGCTTATGACGTGTGTAAAAAATAGTTAAAATTTGAACTTGTAGAAATCAATACCTGTCTGGCGTGGGCGCTGATTGGCTACGTCAGCAACGACAATGAGGCGATTATAGAGGATGTGGGCCCAATTAACTGTGACGGACGTCTGGCGGTGACTGTGCTTAACTGCGCAATGCGCTGTACACCGGCGCATCCTCTATAATCGCTCCATTGTCGTTGCTGACGTAGCCAATCGGCGCCCACGCCAGAGAGTTATGGATTTTACACGTTCAAATTTTCACTGTTTTGTACGCACGTTATAACCAGTCACTCTTTTGTTGCTTCTTCCTTTTCGCTGACGATGGAATCCTGCACGATTTTGAAAACTCAGAATAATAAACAAATTAATCCGGTGTTCGACTATTCTTCTTCCCTATAGTATCATATAATTCCGCTTTCTAATAGACTAATTTATTATTTTATATACTATTGCTACATGCAAAATACATATTTTCTACATGGCTAGGGTTTGCGTAGTACAGACACCTTTTTTATGTGATGCTATAGTGATACATATAAACTACCTTTACCGAAACGACTAACAAGAGCGGTAGAACCCAAATACATACCAGGGCCACTGGTCAGGAAACCGACGCGACGCTGGTCGACTTGCCCTCAGAAGACTACAGAAAAAAGTTATGGTCATATGTGGAGCAGGCGGAACCATCGCAAGGATCAAGAACTAATCAGGAGAGAAAGTAAACCGGCAGCTTCTGGCTTCCACGTCATCGTCAAACAGTCATCCCTTGCCGTAGTCCCAGGTGGTTAAAACCCAAGCCCTGAAACACGGTTCCTTCGGTTAGTGAACAGTCAGGCGACTGGTTCCCGCTCTGCCTGCTTTAAAAGGGTCCTCAGAGCTTCGTAGATCAAGCGATCACTCCGACAGCATTCAAAGAGTAGTACGGGGATAGCAGAGTCCTTCCAAGGGACCCCCATATCCGGGTGTCAGGCATTGGTGGCCAACATCACCACCAGTCTCTTGTTGCCAGCAGTCCATAAGTAATCACAGGGAAACGCTAGTTGGGTAACAGTCGATTATAGGTAACACCACAGAAACTAAAATCCCGAGAATTTTGTAATACGGGACCGGTGCTGATGATAATGCATTTACTTTTAAATTTATTATTTTATTAGTTTGATTCTTTTCATTTTTTCTTTGGTTTATTTTTCAAATATCGCGCGCTTCCTCGTTGCTACATTTTAGCTTTTTATAATATTTATCTATTATTTGCCGTTTTAACTTGCTATATTTCTCTTATTTTATCTCCTGCGTCCCCGTAATGCCTCACCCGTACTACATAATTTGGTGGTTTATGGTATCCGTGGTGTTTCCTCTAATAGACTGTTACTCCCTAGTTGGTTGCAGTAAGAATGCTTCTGTGTGTCCAACTGTGCTGGCGCAAAAGCAGGCATCACGTACCCACTGCGAGTGTTGTTGTGTGTTCAGTGGTTTCGAGAGGGGCGAGGTAGACGCGAGCATGAGAGCTGGCAAAGAGTGCGCCGAGGAGGCTAGCGAGGCGGCAGATGGGCTGTCACCAGCTGCCGCAGTCGCAGGCGACGATGCCTGTTGTCGTGGCGATGATGAGAGGTTGAGAAGCCAACGGGAGA